GATACTGGTAATGCTCTACTATTTGATGTTTCTTTTAAAAACCTGTATCCATCTTTTTCCTAGAATATTTTGTTTTCTTTGTATTTTCACTTCATTGGAAAGGTATGCTTTCTGTATGTTTCTACCTCTTGGGTAAAGCCAGTCGTTGATGTTTTAGAATCACAAGAGAGAACTGGAAGAGAGACTTGTGAGTGAAGTCCACATGGAGTCCAGGAAGGGAAGAGACTCTCCCAAGATGGTATAGACTTTCAGGTGGGGCCTGTGCCTCTGGCCCCTAAGCCAGGGCTCCTGTATTGTTACTAAGATGTTTTGTTCAGTAAATACTCACCTACTGATAGATGTGTTGCCATTGGTAGCACTCTTTAAAAATCAGTTCAAAAAGCACCCAGCGCTGATACTACTCATTAAAGAGTTCCACAAATGCTCACACTTCTGAAGGACCCTGGGATTCTCTGAAGATTCACGTTGCCTTTGTACTGGCAGCCAAACTATTTTCAGCAGATGGCTGGATCCAGGGGCTAGTCTTTTAGGATCTCTCACCTGAACACACTTTCTTCAGTTTTCAATGTCATGTTTTGTTTTGTTTTTTAACCAAAGAGGCTTCCTGGAAGCAACATGGCCACATGGACAGACCACGGGGCACAGGGCCAGGACCCCAGGATTCCGGCCTGAGCCTGTGGAGGAGTGGTGAGGTGACCTCAGAAGAATGGATCACCATCTCTGTCTCCTAACACTCCCACTGGTTAACAGAGCCCACCTTTGTATCTGGGGACTGTGGGAATATATCATGTGATACAGGAAAATGCTTGGAAAGAATGAAATGTTCACTCAACAATGTCTTCAGTGTCTATCATAGTCCAGGTTCTTTGTCAGGCATGGAAATACAAGCATGAATGTGACATTGTCCTTGCTCTGAAGGAATACATGGTCCCATGGGGAAGACAGACTCAGCCATGACTGCATCTTGTGCTGTATACACTCTGAGGGGGTGAGCAATGGATATTATAGGAACAGAGGAAAGCACCTATCACATTACAGAGAGTAAGTCAAGAAGCCTTCCTACAGGAGATGATACTTAGGAGATGAAAATTTCAACAAGCCCACAGTCCTCACCACTGGCCACCATTTAGTCAATATTCTCTTTGCTGAGGATGCTGCTGGGCTATTTACAGACATTCATTCATGTAAATAATCCAGAAGGTCAAGGTTGTTATACTAATTATACATATGATAAAACAGAAGCCAAGAGAGTTTTTTAAAAAAGAAAATTTGAAAAGGTCACGTAGCTGGTAAAGAATACAGCCCAAATTTAAACCTCACTGTGACTCCAGAGCCCCTGGTCTTCACAGCATAGCCTCCTTGTTCTGGGCAACTCCACTTGCACGAGGCAGAAACACAGAGAGGAAGTTCTTGGAAGACAAACTTCAGCTAACAGGAAGGAAAAATTTCCTAACAGCTGTCTAAGAATGAGATAAGCTGACAGTGGGAAGTGGGGAGCTCTGGGTCATAGAAGTGTCATGGAACAGACTGGTGACCGAGCCAAGACATTGCTGTGGACATTCCTACTTGGAGACAGAGGAGCGGTAGGTAAGCTAACTGTCTCTAAGGATACCGTTGTTAAGGATTAAGTCCTGTTATCAATGACAATGTTCCTTTCCAAAATTTTAGGTGCTCTACAGGGGCTGGGAAAGCAATGTGGGCACAGCATTCAGACTGAGGTCCCACCTGTCTGGTGATGAGCCACTGGGAAGAGGACAATACAGGGGCCTGATGGAGTGATTAATAAATTGGCCTTCAGAGCCATATGGTTAGGGATACTTTCCATTAAAAAAAAAAAAAAAAAGCAAGAACTGAATCCAGCCACTAAAGCAAAAAGGGAAATTGTTGGAAGGGGTTTAAAATAAAGCTGATGCTGAAGAGCCAGACTTGGGAAACAGTGAAGAGAGTGGGCCTGGAGAACAAAAACTGGCTGTTGGCAGGAATGCTCTCCCTCTGTTTCGTGGTAGCCATACAACCCTTCTAGCCTCGTATCACCTAGTCCAAGTTTAAGTCCAAGCAGGCACAGCTGATCTGGGTTCCCTGCTACCATCCTGGCTGCCAGGTCACAACAAGGGAGCATCGGCCCATATGTCTCTATGTGGGAGAAAACTCATCATCTTGGAACCATGGAAAGAGAACCCTCCCACACACACTCCATCTAATCACAAGGTCCCTTGTCCGGCATACTCCAAGAAAAATGGACAAATGCCTCCTATGTTGGGAGGGCACAGAGCACAGAAATGAACTCAGCTCCCAAACTGAGGAAAAGATGGGCTGTCATCCTGACCATTGCTGTCTGCTGTCCACCCAAGTCCCTGATGGTCTGCATGATTATTAATCATACAGAATGTAGCATAAAACTATACAACAGTATAACATTTTGAGCTGCTATTATGTGCCAGAATCTGTGCTAAATTAAGTTGGTTACATGTGTTATGTCATTTAATCCTCACAACATTGTCCTGAATTATAAATGGACATGAGCCTGTGAGTATATCTTCTTTCTCTCATTAGGCTATGCACTCTGAGGGGCTGTCCAACTGCTTGTGCAACAACCTGACATCACTTTTTCTCAAGCAAGTTGTTTATAACCTCCTTGTGCTTCAGTTTCCACATCTGCAAAATGGGTATAATAGTAGAACCTGCCCCACAAGATCAACTTAGAGAAAGTATTTTGTACTAGTAAAGCACTTAACTCTTGCCCTAACCTGTTTGGCTCAGTGGATAGAGCATCAGCCTGTGGACTCAAGGGTCCCAGGTTTAATTCCAGTCAAGGGCATGTACTTTGGTTGAGAGCACATACCCAGTGGGAAGTGTGCAGAAGGCAGCTGATTGATGTTTCTCTCTCATCAATGTTTCTAGCTCTCTATCCCTTTCCCTTCCTCCCTGTAAAACATCAATAAAATACATTTTTTTTTAAAAAAGTACTTAACTCTTGGGGCAAAGTAATGTCAGTAGATGCTCCATTGTGTTCCCTTGTTGGTGATGGTGATGTTGTTGTAACCTGTATGCAGGGCTGTCTCTCTTCTCACTGCAATTAATGAGAAGGCAACACCAATGCTCGGTTGGTCTAAACACAGTGATGCAAAGACAAAATAACAAAACTCCCTATCAGGCTTTTAAGGCCCTTCACCCCCATCTCCCTCCATAGCTTTACCATCACCACTCACTCACTAAGTACTCTATGATTCAGTCAAACCAAACTGTCCGCCATTCCCCCAACATCCTACGGGACTTCATGTACCTTTCCTTACTTACACTGTTCCTCCTGTCTTCTAACACCTGGAAAAATTTATGGCCCAATTCAAATGGCTTTTCCTCAATGAAGCCTTTCCTCATCAGTCCCCAGAAAACATTGTATATCTACCACAGGGTCCCCACCATGCTGATTTTAATTAATAGGAGGAACTCATTATTATTTAATCATCATTTCTACCCCAACCATCTCGAAGGAGAGGTGGGTCTCCAGTGGAGTCCTTTATTTTTCTGGGTAGAGTGATAGGTGGGGATGTAAATGTAGTAGTAAGCTGAGAGGGGATACAATTGTATTGCTTCAGGGAAGTAGAGGAGCTGGGAAAATAAGATGGGGGTGTAAAATAGTGGTACAGAGGGGCAGATAAGAAAAAGGGGGACAATTTGGGCAGAGAAAGAGATAATAGCCATTATCTATTTGACTATGGTGAAAACTTGCAAAAAGCAGAATTTTATCCCAAAAGTATGGAGAACTATAGATGAATCTTGATCAGGAAAGCAAGATAGATGAGCGTGGGAGACATTCTCGGGACAGGAGAAGGCGACATTTGAAAGGAGGAGAGTTATGATTTGAGCTTGTGCTGGCCTGGGAAGTGCCTGCAGTGTGTACAAGCCTAGCAGATGGAGGCCTAGGAACAGAGGCCTGGAGGAGGTAACTCTCCCAAATATGAGCAGATCTGGAGGAAGAAAAGGAGGAAGAGAGAGAGACGGAGAACCAGAAGTCACGATCACATTTGCCCTAGCAAAGTTCTTTAATGCCCAAGGGAGGGTATGGAGAAGGTGGGCAGGTAGCCTTCTCTGAGCAGGTGACATTCAGTCAAATATTTGAAATAAATGAGGATGAGTTAGTCACTCAGCTATTTGGAGGCAAAGAATTTTAGGAAGGACAGCCTGTATAACACCCTTGCATCAAGAGGAACCTGAGGTGTTGGAGGAGCAGAGAGGAGGCAGTATCTGGCATAGAGGCAGCAAGAGGGGCTGGTAGGGGCTGAGGTCAGAGAGGTCAGCAGGATGGACCACAAGGAGAAGGGACATAATCTGACTTATGTCTTTAGAGGATCATACTGGTTATTGTGTGGAAAATGGGTTGTGGGGTATGGGGAGGGCTATAGTGTTAAAGGTGAAATGTTGCACTGAGGAGGTTCACTAGGAATTGCAAATTGGGAATACAGGGTCAAAACCAGGGAAGCAGGTGTGGAAACAAGGAAACCAGATAAAAAATTATAGCATAATACTCTGGACCGTGGTCCAAACTCAAGGTGATATCAGTGGAGGTGATGCAAAGGTGTTGGGTTCTGAATATATTTTGAAGGCAGGGACAATGGACTAACTAGCTGGGTATGAGAAAGAAATAGGGGGACGCTGGTGGCTTTGGCCTGAGCATGTTTTCTGCTGCCCCGTCTAGGAGACATGCATGTATCTGTGGCCTCAGGGCATGGGCCCTGAAGTAAGGCCGCCACAGAAATATTTTGATCCTCTCTGTGACTCAGTTTCTTCTTATGTAAAGTGATAATTATCCTTGTAGTGGCTCCACAGGGTCATTGAAAGCACTGAATGTATTAATACATGTGAAATGCTTAAAAATGTCTCTGGCAAAAGAATAAATGCCAGGTCAGTGACAGGACTGTTTCTACTCCCAACAGTGTTTTGATAAGTGAGCAGCTTGACTTGTTCTGTTTGTACTGACTCTGACTTTGGGGATTGCCTAGGTGCTCTCTGATGGGGTTTGACCTGAACCGTCACTGGCTGGATCCCTCTCCATGGGCCCACCCTACCCTGTATGGGGTAAAACAGCTCATCATCCAGATGTACAACGATCCAGTGAGTAACCGAACCCCTCAGCAGCTGCTGGTCTTATGACTTGACCCAGAAAAGAGCAGTGTTGTATTGGGGAAGTTCACTAGGAATTGAGAATTGGGAATACAGGGTCAAAACCAGGGAGGAACCAGGTCTTGTCTTCTCTGCACTGGACAAACCCAAGTGCTCGCAAACACTGGGCTCAGGTGTTGGGGTCTCATGGGATAAAGGAAATATACTGGAGCAGATCCACCTTTGCCAGTGCTCTTTGGTTACAAGCCAAAGGAATACAACTTGAACTAGTTTAATTATCCTTGGAGTGATTATTCACTAGAAGAGTACCAAAGTATCTCATGTAATTGAAGGCTGTAGGCTGGCCTCCTCCACCTATAGGAAGCATGTGCCAAACCTAGTCACACCTAGTGGCTCCCACCACTGTAGAGTGTCCCACTCTCATTTTCTAGTCCCAGTTTTAAAAAGACAATGAAGGGCCTAGCTTGGAGGACACGTCCACCTCTGGGCAAGTCATCCCTGGCCCAAGAGGCAAGGACAGGATGATCTTGCTGGAAGCACCTGGTCATGTGGTAGTGGTGGTGAACCTATTCCCACCTAAATCAAGAAAGCCAGGTAAGAGATTATGGCATAGTATTCTGGACCTTTGTTCCAGAGGGCCTGCTCTTCCAGAGAGAAGAGAGCAATGGGTGTCCATACTGAGTTTGCTCATTGGGGCAAGATTTTATAAGAAATAGAATGCATTAAGATTTCATAACTTAGAGAAAGGAGACAGACTCTGATCATTCTGCCTCTGAGGGGATGTTGGAAGAGAACAGGACAGACATTCTTTAGGTGGAAGCCAAAGGCAGAAGTAAGGCCTAAAGAAAAATAGAACTTTTTAGCTGTGGCCTCAGGGCGTGGGCCCTGAAGTAAGGCCACCACAGAAATATTTTGAATTTTTACCCCATTCTTTCCACAATGGGTATGTACACTGTGAACTTCGCCTTACTAAAGTGCTCAACTTGAAGCTAAGTGACACTGTCAAAAATGGCACATAGAAGAGACTCAGTTGTATGGAAGCTGCTGTAATGAGATTACAGATGATGACTGTGATTTTATGAGCCCCTGGCTGCCACCAGGTGACAGAGAGTGATTGCTAAGACAGCAAGGGTTCCAGAGTTGGAATATTTCAGTGCAACTCTTTGAAGATGTCCATAAAAACATCCTACATTAAAAAGCTGCATTATATTGAGCAGCCCTCACAAATCCTGGGCTCAGTTGTGGAGGTCTCATGAGATGAAGAAGCCAAAAATATCTACTTAAAACAAATGCATATATTAAACCAAAAGTTAAGATAAAGTAAATCCTTAGGTGCAGTGTAATTCACTTGACTGTTATCTTGATCCTCCTATGAACTTGTCTTTCCTAAGTCTTTTTTAGCCAGTGCCTGTGTAGCCATTGCTTTCCTCTACTTACTACCTTCTCCAGCTCCTCCTTCCTTGTCTACAAAGGGTGTTAACTGTGTTCACAATCACTGTTCTTCCCCTGGACCCTCGATGCCATCCTGACCAGCTTTTTTGGCAGACAGAAGCTGCTGCTAAGTTTCCCAGAAAGTGTTTATTGTCCCCTGGGTTCCCCACAGCCCAGGCCCCCCAATCTCTGGGTTAATTGCAGTTTTCCTGATAGAATCACAGTGATTTCTTCCTCTACCACCTCTTCTTAAAGAGCACAGCTCCGACACTTTTTCTGATCTGGCTGGTCATAGATATTCAATAGCTATTGTATTTTCTGGTGTATGAGACGACGCCCTAATTTTACAGTAAAAACATAGGTTTAGACCTATATTTGCTGTATAAGACTACCCCCCACTTCCGAGGCAACACCGGTTCTTTTTTTAATAGACCGCCTCTCTGACTCTGGCCAATCTGAGCAGGCCTTTTACTAGAACACAGTGTAGCTTTTTACTAGAACACAGTGTAGCTTTGGGTACAGAACATGTACACTGTGTTCTACAATAGTGAAAGGCCTGCTCAGATTGGCCAGAGTCAGAGAGGCGGTCTATTAAAAAAAGAACCGGTGTTGCCTCGGAAGTGGGGGGTAGTCTTATACGCGAATATAGGCCTAAACCTATGTTTTTACTGTAAAATCGGGGGGTCATCTTATACGCCGGAAAAATATGGTATATGCTGAACTAAATTGGATTAAACATGACAAATCCTGTTATGCCAGATGCACTGTGGTTTATAGATATGAAACAGTTATTCACAAGGAGGACAAAGAGGCCTGAGGAGTGACAGGTTCGGGGCCACGAACAAAGGTGTTTTAGTAGAATCCCAGAGGGGAGAACCAGGGAGCCAAGGCATGGGGGAAGGATCATGGAAGGGGGTTAGGTTTCAGCCAGGTACTCACCATGTCACAGAATATAGATGAGACAAGACTGAGCTGCAGAGCTGTTAGGACATTCTTGGTGCCACAGATAGGTAGAATGTCAGCTGGTTGGTCTTAATAAATACACTTGGATTTGGAGCTGTACTCTTTCTGAAAGTTGGCTCCTTTAAGCCCCAAGTGAGGACCTGGGGCTAATATGGGAGTCAAGCTGGTGTGGAACAGGACCCCAGCTCCCTTGGTCTCTTCCTGTCTCCCCCTGTTCTTGTCCTGTCTTTTACCCCATTCTTTCCACCAATACTTACCAACTAATTTCTATACATCAGTCATTGTGGTTCTAATAGTGAATGAAACCCATGGAATCTAGTGGGGAAATAGATAATAAACAAGTAAATACCCATAACTAGAGATTTACAAATTGTGTCGGTTACCCAAAAAAAAGCACCAACTATGACCTACAAGTAGGAGAGTTATACATTTCAACTTGCCTGGGGGCAGTTGTGGATTATCTCTATTGTCCTAGAATATTTCCTAATATTGTCCCCTTTCTTCTTAAAAGTCTCCCAGTTTGGATGATAAATGATGGTCTCTACTTAAAAGCTATGTGAAAGCACCTAGTATACTACCTGAAATGTATCAGATCCTCCACAAACATTATTTGGATCTGATTCAAATTAACATTTGACTTAAGAGTCATTGTGTCCAGCCGAAACCGGTTTGGCTCAGTGGATAGAGCGTTGGCCTGCAGACTCAAGGGTCCCGTGTCCAATTCCGGTCAAGGGCATGTACCTTGGTTGCGGGCACATCCCCAGTGGGAGGTGTGCAGGAGGTGGCTGATCAACATTTCCCTCTTGTCGATGTTTCTAACTCTCTATCCCTCTCCCTTCCTCTCTGTAAAAAATCAATTTAATATATATATATATATATATATATATATATATATATATATATATATATATATATTAAAAACATTGTGTCCAGTTACCAATACTGCAGTGCCCCAGGGTCTGCTCTATTACTTTTAAATGCATTATGATGACTATGTGACCTTGACGGTCACATAGTCATCATAATCACTCTGCCCAGTGCTATCTGAGCTGCCAGGACAGTTTCTGGCTTTATGCTCACATCCTCACTCTTTCCATGTAAGAGAGAAACACCCATCAGTTGCCTCCTGCACTCCCCCTACTGAGGATTGAACCCAAAACCTGTGCATGTGCCCTGACCTGGAATCGAACCAGTGACATTTGGTGAACCAGATGATGCTCCAACCAACTGAGCCACACTGTCCAGGGTAAAGGAAATTTTCTCAAGGAATTTGGACTGGGCCTTTACAAATGGGTAATATTCCATTAGATGACTATGATTTGGAGATGACGGAGGTTCCAGGGAAAGGAAGAGGGCATTCCAGGGAAAGCTGAGCAATGGCATGGAGGTGAGAGACCTGGCTTCTGACGTCAGTATGCAGGGCATATGACAGGGAGCTTCTGAAGAGTAGCATGGGGTGGGGACGGCTGCGGGAGGGGAGGGGGGGGCACGCGCAAATGTACAGAAGCTCATGGATGACTTTGAACACTGAGCCAAGGAATGTGGCTTCTTCCATGGCCCAGTGGTCCTTTCTCATTAAAATCAACGTCCTAGGCCCTCTTTTAATTTGAGTTTTAATTGAATTAAATATCATGGCTATAAAAAAAAATCAAGGCAATGAAACAAAATGTCACCTGTCAGGAAAATTCCAGCAAATACTCTTTCTCAATCTTGGAATCAATATTAAGTCCATGGAGAGCCATCTAACCCAGTGGAGCAAGGGAGAGATCACAGAGTAGTATTACCATCCATTCACTCTCCCAATCTACATACTCTAGAGTCATTCTAAAATTTAAATCCAACTGAGTCTCCCTTTCATGCTTAAAACCTTTCACTGTCTCCCCATTGCTTGTGGGGTAGAGGCCAAGGTTCCTGACATGCCAGTTAAGCACACAACCTCTTCACACCCAGGATATAGCATAGAACATGGCTCCATGGAGGACACTATGCTGAACACCAAATGCACAGATGAATATGAATAGAGTATACCGTATTTTCTGGTGTATAAGACGACTTTTGAAATGAAAAAAAGCCTGCTCAGATTGGCCAGAGTCAGAGAGGCGATCTATTAAAAAAAAGAACTGGTGTTGTCTCGGAAGTGGGGGGTAGTCTTATACAGTGAATATAGGCCTAAACCTATGTTTTAACTGTAAAATTAGGGGTTCGTCTTATACGCCGGAAAATACAGTATGCTTCAGAAAACCACTGAGGCTGTGGTGGGGACAGTGGATCAGAGGAGCTGAGAGGAATTCGGAGAAGAGAGATCTCTAGGTGCCTAATGCAAGATTCTGGGTGAAGGACAAGGAGATCTGAACCAGGCCGGGCTGTTGCCAAGAGCCCCCGAACTTCCTGGGAGATGAATGGGTTCCCCCTGCCCTCCCTGTGCTCCCTGAGTCCCCCTAGGGTTGCTGTTTAGAGAAGTTTCTATGCTCTGGGGTGATGGTCCCCCTTTTCCTAGAGGAGAAAGGCCTGTGTTGCTATAACAACTTGGCTGCAGTCCTTTTAGGCAGACCCGTTTTCTTAAATCATTTAAGGAAAATTAGCTGCCATAACAACAC